TCCTGTATTTCATTTCATGAAATTTCAGGAGGAGCTCTGTCCCAGACTAGTAAATATTAAAGGGCTGGGGTGAGTGTTTCAAAATGGGAGGAAGTGTAGTAAGAACAGGAGTGTGTTTACTATCACAGAATACATTATAGGAAACACACCAAGATCAAAGACTTTTATTTTACCTAAAAGTAGAAGTCAAGGAGTATAATTGTATTACCACTACAGGTTTTTGGCTAATTACTTTTACCTTACGTAATACTACCAGGGATTTATATCATATGATGTATTTATATAACATATATTACTAATTCGACGACATAAATGAATAACAGCTAAGGTACGAAGAAACCATCAAAACCCTCTATATATACTTACTCATGGATAAAATATAACAGACTTTAGTTTCTCCAGTTACCTTTAGTGTCTTCAGATATTTACAAGTAATGAAACTATGTTTGACCAATTATGTGTAAATCCCGGGATGTACAAATTATTCACCTTAACTCAATGAGTACCTACATATCTACACTTATGGCCAAGGCTTTATATCCAATGTATGCATGTATATATGTCTCCGTATCTCACCTTCTCTATCTTGAAGAATACTGTGTTCCAAATGCTAGGCCAGCCCTTACATGACATAGCCAAAATATCTGGAAATTTCCATATCCTTCTCCCTCTGAAGGAAAAGCTGTGGTTTTCCCAGAGAGGTGTACTTGGCAGCATTCTCTCTCTCCTGTTGAGCCCGCCTCTTCATGGCCTCCCTCTCTGGCCTCTGCTCTTCTGTGATGGGCTGTGAGATGACTGGCCCTGGAATGTCGACATTCCTCCATGGAATTGGTTGGCGGCTGAAGTCTTGCAGTAGATGTTGGATTTGAGGTTTGGGAGGTGATGGGGCCTTGTTCTTGTCAGCAGAGGCAAGCTCCCTCTGTAGTGAAGGGTGAGATGATGCCCTGTAGGATACTGGCCTACAGACAGCTGGCTGAGGCCCAGGGCAAGACTGGATGGGGTTGGTTATGTTATCTCGTGTGGCACTGGTAGCAATAGGCAGAACTGGCTTGTCAGAGGCCATCAAAGAAGTGCTGGCAGGAGCTGGTTTAGAAGGCTTGAGTGTGGTAGACTGAGCTGAGTTAGAATGAGGTCTCACAGGGTACAGTGCAGGGGCCCTGTGTGAAGCCAGGGAGAGAGGCTTTTTAGAAATAGGTCTTGCTTGTGGCATGTCCAGGGCTGGAAAAGCTAGAGGTACTAACTTGACCTTCCCAGGTGGGGGCAGCTCATACTGGGATGGAGATGGACGACCATCCCTGTAAGCATTTCTCTGTGTTCTCTGAGCATTGCCCGGGGTTTTACCAGGGCCTCGGCCATTGCAGGGCACATCCAGAAGTGATGTGGTGGCTGGGCCTGTCCTGGGATCTTTGTTGCTGCTGCAGTTTGGCTGAACCCGGGAGGAAGAGATGCCAGTTTTCTTCTCGCTCTTCTTCCCCAGTGGGTGAAAGATTTGCACGGATTCTAGCATGTGCATGCCAAGGTGAGTTCGAGGCTTTTTCAAGCTGTTGTGGCTGAGCTCAGGTGGATTCCTCTTCCTCTTGTTCTTTGGCATGGTGGTGTTTTCTTCTGCCTTGACTCTGTTCCTTGACTGCTTAAGCTCCTCTGTTTTCTTGCAGTTGTTTTCTCTGGATCTCTTGGTCTTGTCTTGCTCCTGAGCCCTTGCTCTGCTGGGCATGCTGGGTGTGGCTTTCTGGGCATTGTCCTCCAAGTTCTTAGGCATGTTGTCAATAGCCCCTTCACTGGACCCAGCACTCACCACAGCCTCTTCTTCCTCCAGGTCCTGGAGCTGGATTCTGGCCTGAGGAGACCCATCTAGCATCTCAGAGGCTTTCTGGCTATCCTTTCTCACTTGGTCCATGGGTACACTGATGGTGCTGGAGCTTTCCTGGACCTGATCCCTGCTGATGTCTTTGGATTGGCTTGCTGTGGGATCTTGCAATGGGTTCCTATCAGTGATTGAGTTGAAGAGTCTGGGAAGGTGAATATCTGCCACCAGTGTAGTCATGTCTGCAAAGCCCATGCTGGAGTCCATCACACTCTGCAGCAGCCCAGGCTCATCCTGACCAAGGCTGCTGCTTCCCAAGGTGGCATTGTCAGGAGAAAGCTTCTGTTTTAGGCTCCCTGAATCAGTGTAGTTCAGGGCCTGCTGCATGTTGGCATGTGCTAAAGGGAGAAGTGATGGGTCTTGGTTTTCTTTTATGCCCTCATAGGCATCCAGAGGAGTTGATAGATCATCTGTCATCAAATCCAAGTCGTTATTGTCTGTTTGTTCCAAGATTGGAGCAGGAGGCAAGGGCAGGAATTCTGAAGGACTGTCGATGGGGACAGTTAATGACCAGTCCCCATGGACAGGTGGTGACTTCTGAACATCCTGCATGCAGGCATTCCAGAGGTCTGGACTCTGCAACAGACAGAGTGTCTGGCCTGCAGCTGTCAATCCCAAGGTTGTCTCCATTTTCTCCACTGAAAAAGAGTCAAGGAAAAAGTCAGTGCCTGGTAAGTGAGGTGCTCCCCACTTTTCAGTGCTTCTCAGTACTCAGACCCCTACAGCAGTGGGGAAGGCATTCCTATGAGCTCTGCTTGAGTAGCACAGGCGGCACCTCTGTTGGGAGATTTGTGACCACTGTCTTATTTCTAGTTACCATGTGATATCATCATTTCTCAGATGTTTGTGTTTTCCTCAGTGTTTGTGTGTGTCGTGTGCATCATGGGGAGGTGACAGAATTCCCTGGGGTTGTGGTCTTCCCTTTCCTTTCCTTTTGTGTTTGAAAGAGTGACCCTCATTTCTGTGGAAGTTTGCTATCAGGCAGGTTGTCTGTTCCATAATTTTCAAGAACTTGCTCCTGTCTTGCAACTCTTGGTATTACTCAAATTCCCCCTGTTGCCTGAGTTTCGAAATGGATTCAGGTATCCAAACCCAGTTCCTCACTCCTGCAAGGAAATCTTTTCAACAACTCTGGATTTCTTCCAGCTCCACATTTCACAGTCTTATTATTAATGATTTGAATATTGGTTTAAGAAGGTGGAATCTTTAGCTTGGGTTATCTTTGTAGTTTAGAACATATCCTAGTGTTCATGTATAGCCTTGGCTCTCCTCTGAATAACCATAGCAAAAGAAAATTGGAGAGAGAGGGGGAATAAGAAGGGGAGAGAGAGAGAGAGAGAGAGAGAGAGAGAGAGAGAGAGAGAGAGGAGAGAGAGGAGAGAGAGAGGAGAGAGAATGAGAGAGAAGCTTTGCCCAATTTAGCACTTGTACTCTGGTACACCAGGTATACTGGACTCTCAATGCACTTATGGTTGAAAGAGAACAGCAGTGCCAGCACTTGGAATCACCAAGTAATACTTCTTCTAGGACAGATTTGGAATTGCATTGCTCTAGAATCACAATTCAAGTGAGAGAAAATAAACAGAAAGGTCTTGGTGTCCTCTATAGCTCCGAGGAATAGATTAGAAAGGAGGCGATTGCTGTGAATGGTGCATGGGACTGATAAGCTAGGTCAGTGACGTGTGTGTCTGTTGTGGTGTCCTTGGACATGTCTTAATGGAGGATGGATGCCACTCATTGCCCTGCATTGTCAGTCATTATAGAGACTGAAGATGGGAATGGTGAGCCAGGCCAAGGCTGAGCTCTCAGGACTCCCATTTTTCCTCCCTGAGGACATCCACTCCTGAAAGTTTGAGCTGTGTCTGCTTTGAGTGCAGATCTCAGTCCTCCCTCCTGGCTCTACTCACCTTGAAGATTGGTGTCTGTTTTGTCTTGAGCAGGTGTGGGATAGTAGATGGCAGATGTGGAGAAGGGTGTTTGGACATTTGTTGACTGAATCTCCATTGGCATCATCACCATCTCTGGTTGCAGGGCAGAGGCCTGACCCCCAGAGGAGGACACAGAGCCACAGGCCTGCAGGCAGTACCTGAGTTCTCCAGGCATCAGAGGGCCCAGGCTGTTGAAGTCATTGTAATAGACCTGGGTGCCCTCCAGGTAGGAAGGTGCTAGGCTGTATCTTTGATTTGGTACCTGTAGTGGTGTGGCCTGAAAAAAGCTGGCAGAAAGTGTTGGATAGGAGAGGACTAAGGCATTGGGATCTAAAATATTATCACCCTGGGCTGTCATAGAGAAGGAGGAGCATGTGGTATTCTGGTCAATGACAGTTACAGTGAAGTCCTGGAGTGCAGCTCCCCTCTGGTCAGTGTTTCCCATTGGATCCCCCTGGAGAACACCTAGATAGGAGAGTGCTGAGGCAGAGCTCTCTCCCTGGTCAGTCAGCGCAGTCACCATGGTTGTGCCAACTGGTAGGTAGGGGTAGGAACTGTCCATGAGCTGCTGGCAACAAGTGCTGGAGTCTGATGGCAGGAACCATGCTGCACTCACAGCTGGGGTAGAGACCCTGGAGAAGTTGCACACACTTCCTGCTAAGGGCATGGCATTCCTCAGCCCAGGCACAGAGGACTGCATAGCACATTCTGTTCCAAAGAAAGGTGCACTTTGGAAATTTTCTGTAGGAAGCAAGAGGAAAATGGGAAGAGGGTGAGATGGAATCTGTGTGTCTTCCCCTGAAGATCTTTGTTATCTCGCATTTGTACAGTCTGGGAGAGTCTGACAAGCATTTTTCCTTACATATCCCACACAAATGGTTCAGAATGATTCTTGGTAAAGGATAGGATGGCACTCATTTAGTGAGCTGCCTGTTCTTCCTGTGCTGGCATGGACTTCCTAGTTGATCCACATTGACTCTTGCTCTAACCTAGACAACAACCTTCTTTGCCCTGCTTTGTCTTGTTCTGATTCCTGCTGTGGCACTGCCTCACACCTGTGTCCCAGAACAGAAGTGTTTAAAGTAGGAGAACCTTAGGCAGCTTCTCATGCCTGTGCCTTTGTTCTGTTCTGTGCAGACCTTCCTCAATGTAGACAGAGAGAGAGTCTCTACCTAGATCTGTTTGGCCTTGAAATCACACAGACTGGCCTGTCTCTGCATCAGAGTGCTGGCATTGTAGGTTCCTTCCATGTCCACCAGGCTTGGTTCTACTCTGAGTTTTCTTAATGAAATGATGGATCAGGACTTTCATAGATAATAACTGTATTTAGATAAGAATCCCTTGTCTTCTAGCTCCTTCTGTTCCCCACTACTTTTTATGTAAGTCACTACTTGTTATTTTTTAATATAAATTCAGCACACATCCAATATGACTACATGAATACAACCTGCTGATAATATTTCATGTTGACGGCCTATGTTTCAAGTGACAGTTTGGGATTTCTAATGTAGCATGGGGTTCATCTCTGAATAAGATTGTTCCTTAATTACAAGTTGGTTACATTGATTCTTCAATGAACACTTCCACAGTAATTGTTAATTTCTAGTAACTCTCCTAGTTGGGAATCCTTGTGAGAATCTGTGCACACATTGGTGTGTCAGTTCTTGTCCAGAGAATAGCTGACTGTGGAGTAGCCAGCCCATGTTGATAACATCCAACCCTACCAAAAGATGAGGAGAATGCTGTGGAAGATGGGCTGGATAGAGGGTAAGAGCCAGGGACTAGACCTGGACATTGTTTTCTATATGTGACAGGAAACCTTTACCTAGACTAATCTCAACAGTGTGGCTGCCTAATAATGGGTTGGGATATGAAAATGTCTTGTG